CAAATCTGCATTCATAACACATAAGCTACAGACATCAACATTGGAAACACTGGCAAATGCTGGCTAAAAATTCAGTAGTGGTATCAATAATGATGTTGGTACCTGAGATCTTAACATGGCAATACCTACAGTTTGAACAGCAATAGCAATATCACATGGATCTTACAGCTGGTAATTAGTGAGCTTATCGACAGATTATCCTCATCGCACAAGTCTGTAACGGCTCGGAGATCATCTTCAGTATATCCCTCAGTGTGTGGCGACCGATAACACCAGTTCTTTGTTGGTTTACTATTCTTCTTTGGGGCATGCAAGAGCACACAGAATATCCATACAAGTGAAGAAACAGAAGAAAGATAAAAGAAGACGAAAAAGAAGAAGAGCAGTTATAGAAATTTAGAAAATATAGTTAATGATGATCATAACTTTAACAGTAATAACAGTGGCACAGAGAAAATACAGTTGGTGATGGCCATAACTTTGTTGATAACAACAGAAGCACAAAGAAAATATAGTTGGTGATGGCCATAACTTTAGCACTAACAACAGGGGTATAGGGAAAATATAGTTTGTATTGGCCATAACTCTATCGGTAACAACAGGAGCACAAAGAAAATATAGCTAGTGATGGCCATAACTTTAGCACTAACAACAGCTCAAAATTAGTTGCATATCCTTTACAAGAGGTTGCAGAACCAAACCCAGCACTTTTTGGCTGTTGCGGTTTTTCTAGGCAAATTTAGGTCCACTAATTAACGAAAGTGTCACATAGAAAAATATAGTTGGTAATGGCTATAACTTTAACACTAACAACAGTGGCACAGGGAGAACATAGTTGGTAATGGCTATAACTTTAACACTAACAACAGTGGCACAGGGAAAATATAGTTGGTAATGGCTATAACTTTAACACTAACAACAGTGGCACAGGGAAATTATAGTTGGTAATGGCTATAAATTTAACACTAACAACAGTGGCACAGGGAAATTATAGTTGGTAATGGCTATAACTTTAACACTAACAACAGTGGCACACGGAAATTATAGTTGGTAATGGCTATAACTTTAACACTAACAACAGTGGCACAGGAAAATTATAGTTGGTAATGGCTATAACTTTAACAGTAACAACAGTGGCACAGGGAAATTATAGTTGGTAATGGCTATAACTTTAACACTAACAACAGTGGCACAGGGAAATTATAGTTGGTAATGGCTATAACTTTAACACTAACAACAGTGGCACAGGGAAAATATAGTTGGTAATGGCTATAACTTCAACACTAACAACAGTGGCACAGGGAAAATATAGTTGGTAATGGCTATAACTTTAACACTAACAACAGTGGCACAGGGAAATTATAGTTGGTAATGGCTATAACTTTAACACTAACAGCAGTGGCACAGGGAAAATATAGTTGGTAATGGCTATAACTTCAACACTAACAACAGTGGCACAGGGAAAATATAGTTGGTAATGGCTATAACTTTAACACTAACAACAGTGGCACAGGGAAATTATAGTTGGTAATGGCTATAAATTTAACACTAACAACAGTGGCACAGGAAAATTATAGTTGGTAATGGCTATAACTTTAACACTAACAACAGTGGCACACGGAAATTATAGTTGGTAATGGCTATAACTTTAACACTAACAACAGTGGCACAGGGAAAATATAGTTGGTAATGGCTATAACTTTAACACTAACAACAGTGGCACAGGGAAATTTTAGTTGGTAATGGCTATAAATTTAACACTAACAACAGTGGCACAGGGAAATTATAGTTGGTAATGGCTATAACTTTAACACTAACAACAGTGGCACACGGAAATTATAGTTGGTAATGGCTATAACTTTAACACTAACAACAGTGGCACAGGAAAATTATAGTTGGTAATGGCTATAACTTTAACACTAACAACAGTGGCACAGGGAAATTATAGTTGGTAATGGCTATAACTTAAACACTAACAACAGTGGCACAGGGAAATTATAGTTGGTAATGGCTATAACTTTAACAGTAACAACAGTGGCACAGGGAAATTATAGTTGGTAATGGCTATAACTTTAACAGTAACAACAGTGGCACAGGAAAATTATAGTTGGTAATGGCTATAACTTTAACACTAACAACAGTGGCACAGGGAAATTATAGTTGGTAATGGCTATAACTTTAACAGTAACAACAGCAGTACAGAGAAAATATAGTCGATGATGGCCATAACTTCAGCACTAACAACAGTGGCGCCTGGAAAATATAGTTTGTTGATGGTCATAACTGTAACAACAGTAGCAAAGGTAAAATGTAGTTGGTAATGGTCAAAACTTTAACAGTAACAACATCAGCAAAGAGAAAATAACAGTAATGTTAACAGTAACAACATTGGCACACATAAGTTACAGCTAGCAGTAATTATAATTAAAAATTACAACACTGGCACACATAGTTAAAGCTGGAAGTTACTACAATTCTGACAGTCATGATAATGACATATAGTACCATATGGTGCCTACAACTGGCAAAATGGCTACAATATAAAGTTATAACAGCTTTGGTACATGGAAGTTACAGCTGGCAATAACTACAGCTGTATCAGTAACAGCCTCATATGGACATGTAAAGTTGGTAATAACTATAACTTTTACAGTAACATTATTGACATACAGAAGTTGAAAATGTATTACAAAAAAAAAAAAATATTAACAGTTGGAAGTTATAACTGCCAATGTTTACAGTTTATAATGTAGTATTAAAACTGGCATATGGGAGTTAAGGTTGACAGTTATTAAACTTTAACAATAACAGCAGTGTCATGTGGAAAGTAAAGCTTTCAAAGTTTCCACATTAAGAAAAAAAAACACAAAAACAAAACAAAAACAAAGGGGAATAGTAGTTGGCATTGATTACAATGACAGAATTAATAACATTGGCATAACAAGTAATAAATGAAAACTTAAATAGTAACATAAATAAATGTTCAGGACTGTGACTTTTAAAAGTAAGGAAATAAATAAATAAATTTAAATTTCAAATTCTTTACACCTCAGCAAACCGCAGATTATTGTAATTTATGGAATCAACAGCTATACTGGCTCTTTCCAGAATTATGCAGACAAAAGGACATGGTTGCCACATTGCATTTACCCTGGTGAAACAAACAGTTACTTTAGAATGTAACAGATTTTGTGTTTCTGTTGGAAAGATTAATTTATTTGCTTCATTTAAATCAATTGTTACTGATGAGATACAGCAAAATATGTCAAGTAATAAATTGTGCAATCTATTGTTGTGCCTTCTTTGTTCAAACTTACATTTGTTAGCTTTGAAAAGCACAATAACAGTAAATAGAGGAAATTAGATATCAGAAGAGACACTAGATAATAGAAATACTTGAAAATATGAGACACATCAGATTCCATTACTTGGTCTCTCTGGTATCCTCCATGATCATAGTAACTAGATATGTTATTTCATGACCTGCTTCAGAGTAATATCAAACTCTCATAACTCATTCAGTTCCCATCAACTCACGGTGCATTTGTTGAGCTCTCCTATATTATATACTTTTGTTTACATTTTGTCCCCTCAGCCAGTAATAATTTAACTTACTCTGCCTCAACTGTTGCCTAATATCCTTTTTTCTCCTGGTGTTTTTTTTTCTCCATCTGATTCAGACTCAAAATATTTAATAATTAAAACAAATTCTTAGGATATCATGTGATTAAGTAGCATCCAACCTGGGACTCAAAGAGTTAACAGAACTCTTCACTTGCTGCTGAAGATGGGAACAGATAACTTAAGGACGTGTCCTGTGCTGTGCTGTCGATTCTTAATTCAACATTCAGACCTTCCCAGGGTGCTGGTGCCTAGTTTTTAGAGAAGAAGAATAGACCCAATGCCCCCTTAATGAGAGCATGTCACAAAAGACGATTAACCCTCTTGCCCTGAGAAGCAGAAAAACTGACACTTCTTTTTGGGTCCAGTTCCCCCTAAATGTCACTTTTCCTACTTGCATATTATGACCTGTTTACGAGATGTATAGTTAATGCAGTTATCTGAGTTATAAATTATGAGTTTAGAGTTTTGGTTTGGGTTATCTTCACGGCACTCCGGATACATCCATATGTGCTCAGATTCCCCCTTCAACATACACATTGGCGTCCCAGGTTGATAGTCCCAGTCCTATATTGCTTGACAAGACTTCTCATGCATCCGGTGTGCTTCTCGTGTCTGGCCGTGCTGATCTTTATGCCCAGTTCTTGCACTCTTAGCAAAGATGTGGATGTGTTGCTCCCTAAATCCTCCCATCATCCTACCTCTCTAATGACAATTGGCTGAGTTCATTTTAAGGTCAGAAAATAAATACATTAATTACCAATAGCATTTAGAGGGTTTATTCTGTACTAAATTGTTTTTTTTTTAAAGCCAAGATGATGATAGATTTTCTCACAGCCTCAGGAGTAAAGGTCACAGGGTCACAGTATGAGTCATCCCATTTGTTTGTGCTTTTAGGTCCCAGCATATGTTTTCAATTTAATGCTTGGCCCTGTACATGTTTATTGATTACTCCTTTCATATTTCTTTTTAGTTTTCAAAGATTAATTTTAAAATGTAGATAGATACATCTTCAATGAATTTATTAATGACCTGTGTAAACTTTTAATTTTTTTAAAAGAATTCTAATGGGCTCATGACCTATTTTTTTTTCTTGGGGTGAAAAGGATAAGATTTTACTGAAATTTGATGTTTTAGGCCTCAAGATGAACCACTGCACCTTGTCTCACACAATGTATCAACTGCCTTTTGGAGGGCAAATGCAGAAGAAGAAGAAGAAGATGAAGACGAAGGAGGCAGAGGAGGAGAAATATGAAACCAAAAGCAGTGGATCGGCAGATTTCCTGACTTGCATTATTTTATTCTGGCAGAAGTGAAAGATGATGATGATTGTACCACTCTATATATTATTCAATTTGGCAAAGTACAAACTGCCCAGACTAACAAGAGCTAGTTCTAAACCCAGCAACTTCACTATTTTCAAACTCCCCATTACAATCTGAGGCAGAATTACTGTTCTCATCTGTCACGCCTGTGGATGCCCTCCCCTTGAGGTCTGCCAAAGCCTGCAGCAGTCTTCTGTTTGCCTGGTCCAGTTTTTTAATTCTTTGTTCTTGGACATCTATGACTTGTTGCTTGTGTTCTACTGCACTCACCATCTCTGCATGCTCCTTTTTGAGTTCCCCTTCAATTGAATGGAGCCTGAAAAATTGAATACACATTGAAAAAACATCAACCATAACAAAACACAGAGCTCGCCAGCATAAAAAGAAGCAGCTATGAATAAAACAAACACAGATCTTCGGATGTGCATGATATATATAACCTGAATAAAACAAATAAAAACAGACATCCGTATGTGGGATGCAATTTTTTGTTATTTTAAACCCTATCCTGGCTTTTGCTGGGGGCCCTGAATATAGCCGGGCCATAACTATGGCCATAACGACTGGAAGAGGTTTCTGGGACCTCTCCATGGGTGATCCTCATCCACATGGTGACACTTTGTGTCACCAAGTGTTTATCGCTTGTGTGATGTTCTGGTGGGGTCCAACATGAGAGAGAGAGAGAGAGAGAGACAGACAGAGAGAGAGAGAGAGGGAGAGAGAGATTAAAACAAATGAACATAGCAGTAAGAGAACCTTGACCTTAAAGAGCCTTGATCAGCACACTTCATAGATAATTATATATTATTATTAAAAAAATTAAAATAATAATAACATCCTTAAGTTGTTCAAAAACTGAAATCTATTCCTTGTCAAAACATGCATCTGTGCTGGAAAACAGGGTTTGTTAACATATATCATCTTAATATAACATTAGTTTATTGCCCCATAACTAAGTTTTTTTTGCTACTTTCAGCCAAAATGTTTGATAAGGGCTGACCACTAATGCTCTGAAAAGTTATTTGTTTCCAGCTAGGTTTTGTTGATGCTAATTCACAGTTTTTGTACCAGGAGTGCAAAGTTCCATCGCCTAGCTGAGTTAAGTGCTTAGTGTGATACTGTGAGCTGTTTATTTCACGAGGAACAACTTTTCTGTTGTGCTTGTGGTATGTTGTTGACTGTCCTAAAATGGTCGCTGGCCTATTAAGTTCAGTTTGTGTGTACTTTTGCAGGTGCAATACCGGCTTTCATGACTGACTGTTGATGCCAACAGTAAGCTGCAATTCTGGTGTGGGACCATTAGTGTTGGCACATCTGGGGATGCTTTATGCATTTTTACTTTACATATGCAAGCTTCACGATTTGGCTAGGACTGACAAGTTTTTCACTAGTTTCCCAATGATACAGTGCAGTACATTTTGTGTGATTTCCACTGGCGCAGGTATTGATCAGTTATGGGCTGCCATGATGTTGGAACCTTAGCTTAGTAATAAATTAAGTTACTAACTAGCAAACTAACTAACTAACTAACTAACTAACTAACTAACTAACTAACTAACTAACTAACTAACTAACTAACTAACTAACTAACTAACTAGCTAGCTAGCTAACTAACTAACTAACTAACTAACTAATTAACTAACTAACTAACTAACTAACTAACTAACTAACTAACTAACTAACTAACTAACTAAGTAGCTTTTTTCAAACACAAGTGAAAGACACAAACGAGGAGTGGTCCTAGCTTGTCAGTAACTAGCTAACTAGCTAACTAACTAACCAACCAACCGACCCACCAATCCACCGACCGACCGACTGGACTGACTGACTGACTGACTGACTGAATGACTGACTCACTAACTAACTAACTGAAAGACTGACTGACTAATTAACAAATATCTAATTTTATTGTAAAATAGGTTTTGAAATAATGCTATGGGGGCTACTGTAAAGCTTTTTTTCTTTTTGTGTATTACATTGTTCTTTGCTTTTCTCATGGTGTGTCCTCTCCAATGACAACATCCTTCCTTCACCTCTTGATTCATTGGAACCTCTTTAGTTTTCTCCTGAAACTCAACATTAGTCATTCTATCATACCCTTTATTTCCCTCTATTTTTCACAAGCACCAGTGAATGAATGTTTGTAGTTTATTAGTAAATCTGTTAGTATCTCTACGTTTCTACTCAATACAGCAGTACTAATGTGACATAGTGAAAATGTTTAGTTTAGTGTTAGTTTTAATTGCCTTTGACTTTCACAAATTTCCTAGTATTATACAGTTATTTGTTTAACTAATTATTAATCAGACCAGGCAGTTAAAGAAGAGAAGAAGAAGGAGAAGAAGAAGAAGAAGAAGAAGAAGAAGAAGAAGAAGAAGAAGAAGAAGAAGAAGAAGAAGAAGAAGAAGAAAAATAAATAAAGAAGAAGAAAATGCAGAAGAAGCAGACAGAAGGAGGAGGAGGAGGAGGAGGAGGAGGAGGAGGAGAAGAAGAAGAAGAAGAAGAAGTAGAAAAAGAAGAAGAAGAAGAAGAAGAAGAAGAAGAAGAAGAAGAAGAAGAAGAGAAGAAGAAGAAGAAGAAGAAGAAGAAGAAGAAGAAGAAGAAGAGGAGAAGAAGAAGAAGAAGAAGAAGAAGAAGAAGAAGAAGAAGAAGAAGAAGAAGAAGAAGAAGAAGAAGAAGAAGAAGAAGAAGAAAAAGAAAAAGAAGAAGAAGAAGAAGAAGAAGAAGAAATTTCCTAGTATTATGCAGTTATTTGTTTAATTTTTAATCAGACCAGGCAGTTAAAGAAAAAGAAGAAAAAGAAGTAGAAGAAGAAAAAGCAGCAGCAAAAGCAGCAGAAGAAGATGAAGGTGATGGATTAAAAAAAAACACCTAGTCACCTAATAGTAATAGCTTTCATCTGTTCATCCTTCTCTGCTTGTTGCCTCTTCATTTTCTCCTCAGACTCTACCAGGCGATACTGCCACTCATCCATCAGTTTGTGTGTCTCCATCTCATGGTCAAGCAGTCTGATTTCTGTTTGTTGTAGTCTCTCCTGGGCTTCCAACAGCTGCTGGCGGAGCACGTGGACCTCTTGTTCATACTAGTAAAGAACAAACGTAGCTTACAGTTAGAAACTATTAGTCTGAACACAATAACATTCAGCTTTGGGAGAGAACTAAACAAGTTCCAGTGAACTAAGAGGTGAAGAAAAGACTCTGACACTGGATATGACACACAATGAGAAAACCTTAGAACAATATAATTAGAATGTCTTTTTGCACTGGAACCCACAGGGGCAGAGAAATAAAGGCACACCAACAACAACAAAAGACATGGAGAAGCGAGCTAGACAGTTAAAAGGTTCAAAACATGGGGAGGACATCAGATGAGCTGTATTTAACAGCAAAGAATATAATGGCTTGGCATGAGCTGTTCAAAGCCTAAGCTCCAAAGGTGGATAGAAAGCAGAATAATAATAAGAAGAAGGTATTTGAACACAATGCTGGACACTCAGTAAGGACATTGTACAGAAACTGCAGGTAGAGCAGTCATGGGATTTTGAGAAGAACATCATGATCCCGGGAGCCCTAGTAGTGTAGTGGCTAGATGCTCACCTGCCTGCCTGAAGGTCTTGGGTTTGAATCTGCATGAAAGTCAGATTTAAATAAAGCTCAGCGTTAAATGGGTATCAGGTAAAGCAGAGGGAATTAAAGGCAGCCATCATGATGTTGCCCACTTCATTCACCAAGCACTGACTGGTCACTTAAAAATATGAATCTAACATCATTTGCCAGAGACTGTTGGCAGCTTTGGCTAGCTAGCAGCAGGTTGAACCTGGCTGAGTTCTTGATTTTTTCCTAACAGGCTTTGGGAATTGGAATTGGGAATCGTATGCCTGATGCAGTGTGAGATAAAACACTTAAAAATTTTTTTTTTTAATTTTCTAGCACATTAAGAGAGAACTTGCTATCATGGGCATCAAGAGTTGAGTTGAGTTGAGTCAAGAATTGACATCACAGCACTCGGGGCATTCCCATGCATTGGACATTAACAGAGATCTGAAAGTGTATAGTGCCAGCTCTAATGTACAGAACTAATGTGACACACACACACACACATCATGATTGTAACTGATTCAGAAAGCATGCTGAGAAAGATCAGAACAGGTATGCTTCGTGCAGAGTGGGATGCTTCGCTGCAGAGGACGCGAGTGAGGAGTATTGTATGGATTTTTTCACCGGTTACGCCGGTGTGTTGGGAAATGAATAAGTAGACAGACTGGTTGGCTCTGCATAACTTGGTGGAATACTGATACATGAGTGATGAGAGGTTCTGGCAGCTTCTCGAGGCTCAGAGGAAAGGCAAGACGGACGTTTAATCAGAATGCTACTGGCACCATTTGCATCGGATCTCTTCGCTACGGAGCGTTTATGGGAATGCCCCGAGTGCTGTGATGTTGTTTCTTGAAGCAAATCAAATCAATGTACAGAAGTGAGTCATGGACAGTCATCCAATTATTAAATCATTATGTGGAAGCTGTAGAGAAGTGGTTGTTTAGGTAAATTATATGAGAACAGCTTGGACAGATAAACAGTGTGATGAAGATGTCTCACTTCACACAGAGAACTGATTACTCATATAAGAGGCATGCCAGCCTCAATTTGGACATGTGGAAGAGTAGGGAAAAACTGGAATATGCTGTGACAATAACAGTAAAGATAGAAATGATAAGAGAAAAGAGGCAAATGGAGACTAAGAGACAATTTTAGACAGTCTGGCATCATGGCATGAAGGAACATCTGCAAAGAGTAATCTTCTTCTTCTTCTGCTTTTGTTAGTTTGAAGTAGATTATCTATATCTGCAATGTTGTATCTAGTATAAACTTCACTGTCTTTTTTAATTCACTCAGTGACTTATAAAGTTTGGCCTCCACCAGTGTTTCTCTTGGCCAGAAGTTTTACCATGGTATGTTGTATTTGGGACAGTCTTTAAAGATGGGATCTGTTGTCTCAGATGCCATTTGTGTACATGGATGATTCTCCAAACTTAAATTTTGTAATGGAAGTGACTGACAGTACCTGCGACTGAAGTCTGTGGACAGTCATAACTACCAGCCATCACATGCATTGACTTTTATGTGTTAGTGCTGGGGCCTCATTTTAGGGTTTAGAAAAAAATAGACCCCTCAACCCCCGGTCCCCCCATTCCCTCAACCCCCCCCTCCCCCATTCCCTCAACCCCCCCCCTCAACCCCCCGTTCCCCCCATTCCCTCAACCCCCCCTCAACCCCCCATTCCCCATTCCCTCAAACCCCCCCTCAACCCCCCGTCCCCACATTCCCCTCAACCCCCCCCGTCCCCCATTCCCTCAACCCTCAACCCCCCCATCCCCCCATTCCCTCAACCCCCCGTCCCCCCCCCCCCCCCCCCCCCCCCCCCCTCAACCCCCCCCCCCCCCCCCCCCCCCCTTCCCCCATTCCCTCAACATGTCATCAACTGTTCTAATTACGGGTCTGCCAAGAAAAAGAAGAAAAAGAAGACAGAGAAGAAGAAGAATGTTATTCTTTTATCTATTACCATCTTTCTGTTGTCGTGAGATAACTCCTTGATTGTTTGCTTATTGTCAACATTTCACGCCAGACAGTACATTAATCGTTTTCAAATTAGAACATGTTAGGGATGTACAAGATTGATTTGACCAGCCTTCCACTGGTTTATTTACCCGTAACTTTTATTAGCCTTTTGCCTAAAGAAAAAAAAAAAACACCTGTAAGGCGGCAGAGATGAAAGGTTAATGCACCTTTTACCTACGAATGGCTTTATACCATGTCAAAAAAATGTTCTTAAATAGATCTGAATGTATTGAGTCCCCTCCTTGTAACGACTATTATCTTCCTTGATCCACACTTGTTTACTGCATATTTTAAATATATTATTTACATATAAATATTCTAAATATTTACTGTAAATAATAGTGTAAATTTGATTTACAATGAGCCTCTACATATTTAAAACCAACTCAGTGTTCTGTCACTGGGAGGACACACAGATTCATAACCCTCAGGATAGCTGATAATTTTTTTTTAAATTATTACCAACAGGGGGCAGAAGGATATAAAATTCTTTTTCTTCTTTTCTTCTTCTTCTTTTCTTCTTCTTCTTCTTTTTCTTCTCAGCATTTATCGGCAGTAAAAAGTTCTGTTTGTTCATCCATTACCGGACTTTGTTTCTTGTTCCAGAACAGATCTGGTTTATTGACTGCAGACTGTTGGTTTCTTGGCTTTCAGGCAGATGCCCTGAGACTTTAAAGGATGCCCCTAATTAGTCAACTTTTCTGACATGCTTCTTGGAAAGGCCTATTGTTGTTTTGCCCAAAATGGGTTCCCAGATCCCGCATATCGAGGATTTATAATTAACTCTTTCAGTCCCAGGAGGTTTATCATCAGAGGTGCAAGGATTGGTAAAGAGGGGCGTAAAGTCGAGCCTCCTTGCGTTTATTGGGTTTCAAGGTAGGAATCTATGAATTTACGATGCGTTCCTTGGGACTGAAAGAGTTAATAACCAGGATCCAGTAGATTATTGTAACAGCTAGCTGTGCAGAAGCAGCTGAACTCATGTCAGAGGGAAGACTTACTTCCTGTTTTGTTTTCTCCTGTTCCTGTAGTTTCCTCATCACAGAATTAATCCCCATGTGAACTGAAGATTGCGGTGACAGTCTGCTATTGGCTGGACTGTTTGATATAGATCCCAAACTTCCATCAGCCAATGACCGATTGCTAGAAGATCCTGTAGGTGATATCTGATCTGAATGTTGGTCTGGAATAGATTTTATGTCTGCAGAAAAAACAGTTTCATCTGTTTGCTTGGCGAGGTAGCCGAGGTCAAGACTACGAGATGTGGAATACCCCGGTGGAAACCTAGACCTTGGTTTGGTTGCTTCTTGAGATGAATGATAAGATGCAGCTCTTTCTGAGCGTGAGTTTGGTGTTGGATTTGCAGTATGTGGGCGAACAACTGCATACTTTGAGGTCAAGAATGCAGGAGGTTGAGGAAGAGGTTTTGTCTGGAGAAAGCTTGTGTTGATCTGGGTATCACTTCTGCTAGACAGCCTGGTGCTGAATGCTGGCATCATGGAGTTCATCTGGTTATGGCTGTTGTTAGACTGAGTTTGACATGGGGAGCCCAAATTATTGTTGCCACTGCTCACTGAACCAACTGAACTAGAGGAGGTCTGCGAGGTCCTGGAAGCACTGAGTGCTTCCAAAGATCCACATGAGTCACTTTGTGCAGGTGGTCTCTGTTGTATTCTGGTCGGACTGTTAATGGATGTGTTGGAGTCACTCTGGGAAATTGTATAGCTCCATGATTGTGAGGATGTGGTTGGGGAACCAATGCTGTGAGCACTGCTGGATTCATGCAAGCTGGACATGCTGTTATGAGCTGAGAACTTGGGACTCTGTGGTGAAGATGCTCCACTACTGCTTGTTTCCTGTAGTGAACTTGGTCTTTCTACCTGCTTTGCAACCTGCCACCCCACTGATTTTGTGAGAAGGTTTGGTGGCTTGGGGGCCACACCTTGAATATTCCTTGTTCCTGTGGTTGCTGCATTTGTAGCAGATGAAATTAAACTTCCCCTATCTAGTCTTTGATGGACTTGTGGGCTTGAGTAACCGGAAGACGTGGCACTGCTGCCACCGAGAGGACTGTAATCTCCTGATGTAAACCCTGGACTGGATAAAGGACTTGGGCTCTGAATGCTCTTATAATGACTTTCATTACTGCTGTCCGCAGCTGTTGACAATATTCCTGGATAGCTTTTTACAACTCGTACATTTTTCTGCTGGACTGCCTGTTTGGTTTTCATCCATAATTTATTTGGTGAAAATTGTGAAGTCTGGTTACTGTTTTGAACACTGTCTTGCCCAGGGGTTGATAACTGTCTGTAGAAAGCAGGGCCTCTTAGAGTTAAAGGGGCTGGTTTATCAGTTCCTTTTGTGGACATACTGCTAGCATCTCTCTGAGAAATTGCTGAATTGTCAGTGTTATTTCCTGGAGGTAGTTGTTGAGCTCGACGCCGGGGGAATGTACTGCAGCCATCTATAGCTTCTGTGTTCATGAAAGGTGCTGCAGATGAAGATGTTTGCACTGGATATGGTGGAAAAATAAAACTTTCTGATGCCGAATGAATAAAATCTGAGGAACAAGTAAAATAAGAAGAACTACCAATGCTTGATGCTGAATGTCCATTAAAACTGTCATCACTGCTGGAACTATGGAGCGGGGTCAGTTTCTGGAGAGATGCTATGGATGAATGACGATCTGCTGGTGATGAGGCTGCTAGTGGTGATGGTGTCTTGACAAGCATCACTTGCCAAGGTTCCTCTTCTCCCCCATCATTGCTGCTGCCAGAGGAGTCACTGGACTGTCTTTGAACTGTTTGTGCTTGGCTCATTGGAATACCGTAGCGGGTTTCAGTGTCATCTGACTTTAGTCTTCGCTGTCGTGGTTGTGGCACTGGTTGCTCATGTTGGAAAAGTGGATTGGCAAACCCTAGCGGCCTTGTTGGCTGACGAAATAAAAATTAAATAAAAATTGACATACACATATAAAACTATTTAAATCCACATATAACACTATTTAAATCATATCACAATTGAAATAAATATCCTTCTAACTAAACAAATTTGTTGCACAATTTATTGCTAGACATATTTTGCATTACTACAGAGTTACATCATCATAAAATGAAGCACATAAAAACTGAATAAATTTAACTGAAATGTAAATAGCCTCTTTCGATGCATCATGGTTTGTCTAGTCGCCAGAAGTTCCCCGTAGTCACATGACTTATCACTGTAACTTGAAAAGTTCACATGACTACAGTAAACTTCCGATGACATTTTATGTTGATGTAACTCTGTAGTAACGCACCTGATGAGATACAGTGAAATATGCCTGGCAATAAATTGTGCAATGTATTGTTTGTGTCCGAGTTATTTAAATTCATTACAGGAAAACATTGTTTTGAATTAGCAAATACAATTAAAAGTAAATCTATGAAGCCTTGGATGATTAATTATTACATCATATGTAAAACTGACTGTAAACACAAGACAGTTTCTTCTTCTGCATGCAACAAAGTATGTAATTGCACTGGTTCCCTTTTATGGCACAGTGGAAACATGTGTGCCTCTTATCTGACATCTCCCGTTTGGGTTCTGGGATCCCATTGTGGTGAAAACAAAAAAACAGACCCACTGCCTTACTACAAGCATGTTGTTAGAGGACTAACTGGGAGCTTCCTTCAAAGTCAAAGTACATCTGCCTGAGAGGCAACAAATCAACAGTCTAAATACACATGAGTCAGATCTGTGCACACAACATTCAGGTTCTAGAACGGGACTAGAGTCCAGAAGTGGACGAAGAACTATGATTTTCTGCTGAAGTTTTACAGCTGGGGAATGAGTAGGAGAAGAAGAGCTTACACATGCAACTTCTTCAGGAATATGTGGTCGAGTTAACCTTCCTGTGCAACACATGTTTGAAGATGATAGATGTGTCAGCTGAAAAGCATAAAGATAATTTTTGCAGCCATCGAGACCAACATAAAGTGCATTCAGCAGACAGACACTCAGACAGACAGACATGCAGACAGACAGACACACACACAAGCTTGCCTGCCCACCCTCACATACACAAAAGACAAGAAAAAGGAATGCTTTCAAGTTAATAACAGTGAAAATAAAAATGAAAAAGACAACTATAGTTATTGAGTTTCAACAAAACAAAGGTCAATTTCTTGGTTACAATAATAATACCATATTTCAAGAAGTTTCAAATTAATAATTTCAAAGGTCAACACCTAGAAAATGTACTTCACGCTTCACTGACAGTATTTGCTAACAGACTACTTTTTAGTGGAACAGTCTTGCCAAGTATTAGTGACACACATCAAAGCAATTCTATCAGACAATCATAAACAAATACACAAGATAAAACCCTCATTACCTGACTCTTTGTGTAGTTGTTCTTATATTCATGTGTTGAATTCTGGGTATTTCCTGACAAAAGAGGCATAAGATCAACATAATCTCCATTTGTCTCATCTTCAATTGTCATCATATTTATAGCAGGCCTATTTGAGATCTTTTTCATGGTCAGTTCCTGATTAGACATGCTTGCATAGTCCATACTTCTTATCAGCCTTCCGCTTGTGAGAGAAGAGCCAGCTATTCCAGAAACTTCGGCGCCAGTTAAAGAATTACCCTGTAGTTTACCAGTTGGTTTTGCTCTGTTTGCTAAAGCCGGCAGATCATCTGTGGAGACTCCACAGTGATACAGCATATCACTCAGAAGTTGTGTAGGAGACATTACGGATGTATTATCTGTCTTAACATCAGAGTTAGCCATGTTTGTAGAATCCTGGAGAGCATCATGTGCCTGAATTGGTGATGTGACCACATTGTCATAATTTTGAGACTCTCTGTCAAGCTTCTTCTGCCCCGTGTTTGGATCACCGAAAGAGCTTGTGAGAAAGTCAAGGATCCCTTTGAGCTCATCAAATTGGTTTCCTGCAACCTGAATTTAAAAAATCAAGCATTACATAGTTTACAGTTTAAAAAAAATTTTCTTTTTCAGTGAAAATTAATTCATTAATTAATTCATTTATGTATTCATTGAATACTTTCAATTTTTTTTAAACAGTGAAACAAGAAAACAAGGTATCTTTGTCTTATTTAGACTACAATTTTCTACTCTAGGATACAGACATAGTTAAAAGTACAGTGTCTGCCCTTATATTATGAAATGCAGATGCACTTTGCAATTTTGTTTAGCTTTTCTTTTTTTACTGTGCAATTCAGTTTCATTGTTTTTTCCTGTCTACTCTATAAATAGAACATCTTGCAGCCATATTTTAGTTTCATCTTTTTTTTTTTAACTACAACAGAGTTGTACATTGAGACAAAGTCTTGTTTCACATCCTCTTCTTTTAAATGTACTGTATAGAAACTGCCGGCTCTGTTGCTAAGTCGATGCGAACGCTTTGTAATGCCGGGATGCCGGGTTCGATCCCAACTGCGGGCCATGCCCCTCACGTTGCTTTCGACAGTGGTATCAAGAAAGCTGACCGTCCAGAAAGCAATGGCAAACTACTGGACATAAATTTGCCTAGAAAAACCACACAGCAGCCAGGGGCTGTGGGGGTTGGTTCTGCAAAGTCCTGTAAAGGATACGCAACTAACCTGAACCTGTATAGAAACCACAGTTGGTTGTGAGTTAAGGTTTCAACTTCACTGTCAATGGACCACTCCATCATTGCTCCATTCATGTGACAAAGACAATCACAGGGAATGCCCATCACTGTCCCATTTAAAAACTAGTAAAAGTAAAAAGTTAAATGGATATGCATGCAAATTCAAATTCTGGAGGAGAATCAAAACCCAGGAGCAGACTTACAACTAGAACTTTCTGCCAGAATTTATAGTCTGTGAACATGAAGAAAGAAATCCAGACAAAATTCAGAATTCTAAGCATACATTTAATGCATTAGGCAGTGGCTTAGGCCATCTACAATAATTGTTGCCACCAGAATTGCGGTTTGTCATTAATGAAAGTAGTCAGTCATGATGAGCTGGCCATAGACATGCACTATTATTGCATAAGGTATTTTACCAGCCCAATCTGCTTATCTATTTTTTTCTGAATATCATGACACAAACCACTGTGAGCATAGAAGAAAATCATTTCTCAGGAAATACAAAGTTCACAGTCTTGCACCAAGCACTTAACTAAGCAGCGTAACACTATGGGTCATGTTGATTTTTTTTAAGTTTGATTTTGAGAAGTACTTTATGGGGATGTGTATTATTTTCTGTCCTGCCCTGAATTATGGAAGTATGGTTTAGTCTTATTTATTCTAATCACCATGGCTCTGGAGTCATACCTGTCTCAGAAAAATGGGCACAGAATAATTTCCAGAATTTTCTGGAAACTGTCCTGCAAGCTAAAGCAATGAGAAAGAAAACTGATTATCCCACACATATAATCTACAATGTGACAAGGCCCAGCATTTCACACCCTAGTAGCAGCATTTACTATGGTAATCTGGACACATAAACACTACAACAAAATACTGTAAAACTAAAAAAATAAAAAAAAATAAAAAAATTAAATGACCTCAGAGTACTTTTCTGTACACTCAAGCAGAAGAGCATGTAAAACTGACAACTCCTTGCCAAGATCAATATCCCCGTCAAATGTCAGAAACTGGTTGCTTGTCTCTTGAGTCTGAAATATAAATGATTGGCTCAGGGGTTTACAAGCACTGGGCTCTGTCAGCTGAAAATGTTTGACTCTGTGCATCCTAAATGCACACATCATCATCATCATGTAGCAGGTCCTTTGCAGAACGTCGCTCTCATCACAGTCTGCCTGTAAGAAACTCGGTCTCTTGCCAGTTCTCCCGCCTCATGAACTTTCACACTCAAGGAGTCACTTATATCCTGTGCCCATCTTCGTGTTGGTCGGCCCCTGCCCCTCCTTCCTGGTACCATGCCTTCTGCTATAATTTTTTCCAATCCGTCGTGGCGCTTGATATGACCAAAATATTTCAGCTTTTGAGAAAGGATGCTGTTTATTAGCCAATCTTCCTTGATGTTCAGATCTTTTAAGATGTCAATATTTCTCATCTTCTTTGTTCAAGATATTCTGAGAATCTTTCTATAGCATTTCAGCTCAAAAGCCCCTATTCTCTTTCTTAAGGACTGAGAGATAGTCCACGACTCACATCCGTATGTCACAGGGAAGATGCATGCTCTCAAAATTCTAATATAAATGCACACACAAACATAAAAATCATATTTTCATATGACTTTCTCTTTATTGCAGACTAGCATTTATTGCACTCACCTGCTACCCCTCCCCCCCCCCCCACACACACACACAAAACATGCTCTACTGTCCATCTGTTTTTTTCTTCTGGGCTGCAACCTGAAAGTTAGACCACCCACACCTGTGACTCAAAGTGTCCCATCATGGATGGCAGTACAACAGGTCCAAACCAAGATGCCTAGTTCAATCCCCAAAGAAGTTATAATTAGAAGACTAGTTATTGATACACCAGGTACATTTTGCTCATCAGTCACAAGTGATAGTGACCACTCCTTTCAGGTAGAATAAAACTGATGAGTATAAAGGTAATTGTTGGGATTAATCTTGGCACAGGGAATTTGAATGCATAATTTGGGAGGTTCAATTCTCTGCTTTTTTTGGTTTGCCAATGATGAACTGCTGCTACTGTTGTGGCCACCTCAGCTATCACCACTCACTCTCCAATCTTCTTCTTCTTCATATTCACCGGCTGTAAACTCCAGCGGAAAGTTCTCGTTGTTCATCCACTTCTGGACTTTGTTCTCATTCCAGAACTTGGGTTTCGCATGCACATCCATTTGAAAGGTTTGGCTTATTTGTATGCAGACTGTTGGTTCCTCATCTCTCAGGCAGATGCACTCTGACTTTGAAGGAAACACCTAATTAGCATTGGTGATTTCAAGGTTAGCATGGTGGCCTTCCAAACAGCTGATCTTGGTTTGATTCCTGGTTGACGCAAATATTTAACAGCCTCCGTGGCCTAATGCTTGTTTGGGAGGAGGGGGGGGGGGGGGGGGGGGGTAGGGGGGTGTCTATTCTTTATTATATCAAACTGGGACCCTCAAGACTTGTTCAGATGTAAAATATAAGCAACTGCCAGTTTTTCAACCACATGAGAAGAGAAAATCTGGAACATGTTATGAAAACTATAAAGATTTATGGTGGCTAGAGAACAAGATGCATACACATGTCGTAATAGTAACAGACTCTGACAGGGATTTGTCGAGCAGAGTGGCAAGCTTCAGTGGAAATGTCATGGGTGGTGAGCATACTTTGGATCTTCTCTCCAGGCCATGCCGGCGTGGTGGGTAATGAATTGGCAGACAGATTGGCTGGATCTGCACCACTGGGTAGTGAATTGATATATGACAAGACAGATGTGGTCAAGGCCCTTTGGGAACACGCAACGGAATCAGTAGAGAAAGAAGATTATTATGGCCTGGAGAGAATGGGGCACCTGGGCCGGCTCACTACACTCACAGGAAAGGCAAGACGGACTTTTAATCAGATTGTGACCGGTACCATCAGTATTGGAACTCTGTGCTGGCTGCTGAAGATGAGGACAGAGCATGCATGGGAATGCCCTGAGTGCTATGATGTCGGTTCTTGACTTAACTCAAATCAACCTCAACTGTTAAAGGTTTATGGAAAGAGAGATAGAGGAAGACAAGGAGAAAAGGTTCTCGATGGCTTTTCATTATTTTATTTTTTAAACTAAAAACGTATACAAGATATGATAGTGTGTAGTAAAACCGAAAAGTATTGTTTATAGTTTATATGTAGCCAAAGGAAGCTAAATCTAAACAACAGATACTTAACTTACAGAAATTTTGTGCAAGAAAATCTTCATATTTGGAGCCTCTTTCTCAACGAATGAATTCATAAAGGTCATATAGTCTTCTTTAATTCCGAACCTGAGAAGGAAAAAAGCTGCATCAAAACATGAACTTTACTTCTTCTGCATCAAACAAATCACCAGCATTCTGTAGCAATTTACACCATTAATAAAGCTTTGGGAATACATGTCATTTAAATATTGGTATCCTGTGGCACATTACCCCAAACTAAAAACAAATCATGTTTTTTACAGCAATGGCACAGTCAACTTATAAATCTTGTCTTGTCTTGTCTTGTCCACAATTGCCTCACAGCGTAGTGGGGAGTCGCAGTTTTCTATCCTGGGCCAGGTGTGTTGCACGTGTTGTTGTTAGTCCGTGTTGCCTCAGGATCTCTGATATATTGTCTATCCATCGTACTCTCGGTCTGCCTCTTGCTCTAGGGCAGTAGTGCTGTTCGTTGTATGCTCGTAGAGGCAGTTGGTCGGTTTGCATTCGCATCAAGTGGCCAAACCACTCTATTTGTTGCTTCTTTATGTATTGCAGGCATGGTGTGGTTCCTACAATTGCTCTAATGTTCTCGTTTCGAACTCTGTCTCTCCTTGTGACATTGGCAGCCTTACGTAAGCATCTCATTTTGCACGTCGTGATCTTTTTTTCCTGTGCTCTTGTTAGGGACCAGGTTTGGCATTGGTAGCAGAGGGTTGGTATAAACATGCAATTTATCAGTTGTCGTTTTAGTGCCATAGTGATGCTTGGGTGTTTTAGCAGTGGGGAGAGTTGGTAAGTTACTGCATTCGCCTTTTGACATCTTGCCTCAAGTTCCCTATCAATTCTTCTATCATCCAACTTATAAGTACCAGGAGAAATGGCTAGCTAGCTTTCACATGTAATGACTATGAAGAATACTTGATATTGAGGGGTTTGGGCAATGCAGCATGGCAAAGTCCCTTAGGATGATCACTATGGTGAATTACAAATAGTAGAAAATGCTGATGTTGGCCTATACTAGAACATAAAGCTGTGTGCAAGCAGGACATGAATGATACAGAAATTGAGGTATTTTTTATAGGAAAGGAATGCTGGACTGTGTTGTATGAACAAAAAATGGAGGGTGAGGGGAGGGAATCAAGGAGGGAATAGGGATAAAAGAGAAAATGATTGCACGTGATTGCTGATAGGTTGGGAGTTGAGCATCTGAGAAGTTGAGCTGAGTTTCAAGAACTGACATCACAACACTTGAGACATTCCTGCAAGTGCTCAGGACCCATCTTCAGCAGCCAGTGAAGAGTTCCAACTCTAATGGTACCAGTAGCGGTCTGATTGTCGGTCCATCTTGCCTTTCCTCTGAGCGTGAAGTGTTGTCAAATCTCCAGATCACTCTCCACTATACCCTTTTGTTTGTGTTTTGTATTTGAGTAAATGAGATCATCACAGTCTGAAAAGAATGGTTCAGCGGGGACTGACCAGGGGATCTGGCCAACCCTGCCTGGTGTAGATTTACTCCCAAGACTAGTAAACTACCAGGTTTTTGAGGTCTTGAACAATGGATCAACACCATGGCACACGGGTGTAACCCATAAGGGCTCCATTCTTCTTCTAACTCAAGTCTGAGTCCGAAGAAGCTCAGCACAGTGCACAGGCTTTGTAGCACCAGCGAGGAACCTGAAAAACTTAGGGTAGATTTGTAACTCCAAATTTTGTCTGGGCAGGGCTGTTAGGCTACTTTTTTCAATTTCCAACTGCCAAGGGATTTTTTACGTGCGCAACAATGCACACGGGCATCTGATCTCAATACCCAAAGACCATTTGGAATTAATATAATTCCAAGTCCACGTGAAAAAAATCCCAGCCCTTACCAGGGATTGAACATAGAACCTCTAGCACTCGAGGCGGACACCATGCCTCGAGACCATGTAGTTAGCCTCTTCACTATCCTGGCTCCCCATTGATGTTAGGTTGGAGTATTTCATCAACAATTATACAATAAGAAAACTTACTGTGTGAAGTTGGCTAGAGTTTGAATTGTCTTTGCAATTAAAGTAAGATTTCTGGAGGCTCTTTCATTTGGATATTCTGGGGATGGATAATATCTAGTTATGTCATTTCAATAACCTATTACAGGCAATTTTAAACTACCTTAAGTGATCTTCTTATGCATTTAGTCAAGGACGTAAATACACTGTGCCCATTTACAGCATGGTTGCAAAATTTGTGCCCTTCGGCCGACACAACTGAACTTCATCAGACATTTGTTGTATAGTTTAGCCCTCCTGTACATAAAAATATTGTTTATCCTTCTACCCGGGTGTGTAGGGGGCTTGAAGTCTTATTTTGTTGTTTCTCATCTACCCAGCTACAAAAGCACGGTGCTGTCTTCTTTAGTCTTTTTTCCCCACCATATCCATGGTATATCTTATGTTGAGGATAGGCTGGCTCTGCACTACTTGGTGGTGAACTGATGTATGACAAGTTAGATGTTGTGGGAGCCCTTTGGCAGCGAGTGAACAGTGCGGAGGCACAGATAGATCATTATGGTCTGGGGAGAATGGCGCTGCAGGAAGTTGCCGGGGATATGGCTGACGTTCGACACTCAGGGAAAGCATGAGACGGATGTCAAGTCAGATGGTTACAGAAATCATCGAAATTTGAACTCTTCGCTTGCTGCAGAAGATGGGGACTGAGCGCTTATAGGAGTGTCCTGAGTGCTGTGATGTCGATTCCTAATTCAACATTTAATTCAACATTCAATTCTTATGGTGAGGAAAATAAAACAATCTTGACTTCCTGATGAATTTAACCTAAAATGGATACCAGTTTATGACAAGGGAATTAAAGGTAGCCAGTGTGATGTTGACATCACACATATTTGATGTTGACATCACATACCAAGTGCTGACTGGTCTATAAAAACATGAATCTATCATCAAATGCCCCAGGCATTGGTGTAAAAGGATCCTTCGCTTTTAATTATTGAAGAAAAAGGTCTTTCACCATTTTTCCTTCAGCAGCCTGGAGAAAATGAGGCATCTGGGTGTAACCAGAGGCTCACTATACTCAGAGGAAAGGCAAGACGGACATATAACCACATTGTGACCGGTACCATCAGTACTGGAACTCTGCACTGGCTGCTGAAGTTGAGGACAGGGCATGCATGGGAATGTCCCGAGTGCTGTGATGTCAATTCCTTCAGCAGGTAGTTGTTTTATGCAGTGATTAGTGATTGGTGAGGACTACCATCACAGCACTCAGGACAGATCCATAGCTTCTCCGATCTTCCCTACAACAGCTCCACAAGAATAAAACAACTGATTACACCAGTTCTGTGTTGTTTAATCAGATGTTTTGTGCATTTAGCCAAATGTTTATGTCTGGCTGCTCCAGACTGTACTCCAGTGTCCACCAGCCCGGACAAGGATACTGAGTCCTGCTTGTTGTCATGATCTTCTTCACGATATGCATTTCACATGGCATTAATGACATCACTTTTGTCCAGTGCCTGGTCAGTTGTGGTAATCACCTGGATAAAAAGTCACCTCTAAAAAACAGTGCTGGTGGACTGACTGCCTAGTATTGACAATGTCGTTCACTTTTTTTTTAAAACTGACATGTTATCTGGACACAGGCTGATAGCCTTGGTTGGCAGCTGGTCTTAGAAGGTAAGCTTCGACACATGTACAGACAAAGCTCTGTTCTTATGATCTGGCAACTTCTGCAGTATCATCATCATGTGCTGTGCTGGTAAGCTTTCATGCTTCGCTATCTCACACCATTATCAAAATCATGGATAAATTCAGTGTTTTTGTCTTGCCCCATCCATCTGGCCAGGCCATTCAGATATTTATCCCACTGCTTTCCTCTTGCTCTCTTTCCATCAATCTTGCCAGTTGTCACCAGTTTGCTTAGTTCTAAATGTGTTACCTTTCCTTTGGAGTTAACAAAGCATGTTTAGGAATGGATCATGCTGCATTCGCAATACATGGTCACTACAGTATTGCTCAGGCTTTGTGCTATGGTCACGATAGGCCTGTTATCCTCATGCTTCCCTATAGCACAAATGAACACTGTCATCTAAAAAGTCGAAATGGTGCTAACAACAAAATACTTAAATTAAAAATTAAAATCTAGTAGCTTTCTAAAAGAACGACTTCAGACACTATAAATATACTGACAGTGATTCTGGTCTTCCATAGACTGATCGACTCACCTTGGGTCAGATTGAAAAGGCTGGGATACAAAATGGCTGGACAGAGAAACCGCAGGAAAATACAGCCACTGATAAGATTATCACTATAGTCTACCTTGCCTCGTTCATTGCAGCGTGAACGCAAACTGGCAAACACATTTCTAAGTTCACTGAAATACAATTTTAAACAATATTAAAATTCACCATGTTTAATGAAAATTGATGATGTTTAACTGATATTAATAAAATCTGAGTGAGTGAGTGAGTGAGTGAGTGAGTGAGTGAGTGAGTGAGTGAGTGAGTGAGTGAGTGAGTGAGTGAGTGAGAGAGAAAGAGAGAGAGAGAGAGAAAGAGGGGGGGAGAGAGAGAGAGAGAGAGAGAGAGAGAGAGAGAGAGAGAGAGAGAGAGAGAGAGAGAGAGAGAGAGAGAGAGAGAGAGAGAGAGAGAGAAAGATATGGAAATGATATGGGATAAAATTCTATGTAATGAAGTTGATACTCTTTATTTTATTCTTGTGTCCACCTTCAAGTCCTCTAGAAGCCATATCTTTAATTCATATTTTTTTAAACTGCTATTGTGTTTATTTAATTCGAAAATTGGTTTAACGTGTGTTTAAAGATTAGAGTCACCTATAAAACCAGTGCTGGAGTACATCGGAAGATGCACACCCAAAATAGTGAAAGAGGAAGTAAATAAGAAGAAGAAAGATCAGAGTTTATGGCACCAAGCCTAATCCCATATGGATAAGTCTCTTTCTCTGAACAGTAGCTGTTTTCCCCCTACAGATTGCTTACTGAAGGTCTGACCACCCTAAGTAAATAAAATTTCAGTCTGCATGGTAGACCAACAGGGCAAATTCTGGATACCTTATTCAGCCTCCAAAGAAGATATCATTAGGGCACCCCTACCAGCCTACACCAGCCTCATGTAAGCTGGCTGTCATATGCGTGTAACGATAATGATGTATTTACAACCCCAAGGATCTTCCAGACAATGCACTTATGAACTTAAAGATGAAGTGTGAAACTGAACTCATGCATTTCAGAGCATGAGGCACATGATGTAACCACTAAACCATGAAGAAAACAATCTGTAGACAATCATCATCAATAAGCAGGCCCTGTACAGAATGTCACTCTCATCATGACACGCCTGAAAGACCATTTCTCTAGCCGATTTCCAGCGCTATGTGCTTTCATAAAACACGATAATAATATAAAAATAAATATCACCTACGTGGGGAAGTAGCAATAGGAATTAATGACCTTGACCCAGGCCATATTGGAGTACATGTCAAGGTTCTTCTGGTGGCAGTTCAGTAACTGGGTCGTGGCTACTTTCGTGGGGTCCACCTCACAATCGTCCGGGGACTGAACCAGCTGTTGGATCAGGTCTCCCAGCGTGTCTTGTAAATACTGTTACCAAATGAATGCACATCACACACACATTAGAGTTAGGAATGGAATGGTCAGTGGATAATAAGTCATTTATTGAAATAATGTCTACACAAATTATCCACTTAACCAAGCTGAAGACAGTAATAATATCATAATCATCATCAGGTGCCTTGCCGACTGGCATGGGTGATCATGCCCCTTCACAATCTGCGATCTCCTGCAGCATGTATCAGTTCATGTGCCAACACACCTCCATGCCATGCAACAAGACTGTCAAGAATCTTCTCTCGTTTTCTTACTCTATCCCTCCTTCCACAGTAATAGTATACAAATAAATATCAGTAAAAAGGCAGACTTAAACAATGGCAAAAACTAGAGCTGCTAAAGATGGAGCTCAGGAAAAAATACGCAGAAGCTAATAAGGAAGTTAGGAAGCGAATAAAGGGAGATAAAAGGAAATATTTAGATCTAGCACAAGAAGAGACAGCAGCTACAAATGGCAGCCTCAGAGACCTTTACAGTAAGACCTGGAAATTAGTAGGTAAAAACAGCCAGCCAACTGGATCAATCAAAAGTAGTCAAGGAAAGGTCCTCACTATCTATGAAGTATATAAACATTTAGAAACGACTTTGTAAATATCTGGATGGCTTGACCACATAGATGGGGGTGAGACAAAAAAAAAACACTGACCTGTTCTGCGATTCTGGTGATCGTGCGAGGTGGCAAAATATGACAGCCTACACTTACAGGCATGGCACATGATGATGATGATGACAACAATAATACGCTGCATAGTTTATTTTCATACATACAGATTGCTTGCACGTCCTGACATCAACAAGAATGTGGATACACATCCATATAAACTATGGTTTTTCTGTAACAGTTGACCTATATGAACTTCTCATTACCTTTTATCCGATTTTGTTTAACAAGTTCTACACTCACCTTTGCACCAACAAGTTTCATGTAAGCTTCCATGGCTTTGGTAGCTATGCTGTTCCCTCTAAAAGTCAAATGTTCATCATCTGTTAATGAAGACATCCAAAATGACAGTATGTTGTATGTTGAATGCTGAATTAAGAATCGACATCACAGCACTCAAGACACTCCCATAAGCGCTCATCCCCATCTTCAGCAGCAAGCAAAGAGTTCCAATTCTGATGGTACCAGTAACTGTCTGATTGTATATCCGTCTCATCCTTCCCCTGAGTGTTGAGCGTCGGCCAGAGCTCCCTGGTAACTCCTTGCAGCGCCATTCTCCTTAGACGGTAATGATCTATCTGTGCCTCCGCACTGTTCACTCGCTCCCAAAGGGCCCTCACAAAATCTAACTTGTCATACATCAATTAAAATAATAATAACACTGTATACATGTTATCAGTGTTGAAGTATACAATAAAAAGATAAACAAAAAATAATTAAAATTCATAAAATCTAAAAGAATCTATTATTTGTTTTTCAACAGTGTAAGTTCTTAACCCTATTGTCTCAAAAAAACTACATCTAGTCATTTTTAGTTGTGACAGCCCCGTAAATGTTGATATATTATCATATCTGCAGTGACCTGTTCTTGAAAAGCGTAAATATATTTAATTAGTTCTATGTCTGCCTGTGCACTGTTTATATTAAGCCAGGATATGAACACAGTAACTAAACATAGCATTTTGGATGTTGGGGTGGGGGAGAGGGGGGTTCCTTATGCATTTTAAAGCCAAGTTTATGCCAAATGTTACTGTAAGCTTCAAAGTTAGAGGTCACGGGGTCATGACATGAGTCAGCCAATACATACTGCTATTTTTAAGGCCCCTTGGAATGGTAAAGGTAAAGTAAAGGTAAAGTAAAGGTAAACCAGCGTCATTGCACACGGTTATAAACCATAAGTGCTCTGCCACAAGTACAGACAGCTGATAAGAATTGTCCGCCTGTGTCGCCATCCGCACGTAACTCTGTAGCTACAGCGTCGTTCCTCCATTTAACCCAAAGTGTCAACTCTGGTAGCCATTTCCTAGAGGCTGGGTGAACTCCGGGAACTGCCTGGTTTCGAACACCGACTGTGGGCTGCAGCGAGTCGCAGCTGGATTTGAGAGCGAGCCTGTTATCAACTGCGCTGTGGGCCCCTGCCTCTTGGAATGAATTTCATTTTTGTTTTACTCATGTGTATCGATTACTCCTTTATATACCTTAATTTTTTTTTAAATCCTGATGAAATAAAACCAAACATGGTCAGTCTACAGACCAGTGAGAAACTGTGTGGAAGTTACAGAAGTGTGGCTTTGTAGAGACAAGTGATGAGAATGGGATGGACTGATAAAATACATCAGATGTTAAAGATGTGAAAGAAATTAACTAACAAAGAGAATTGTCTACATGCATCAGAACAAGACAATCAATATTCTCTATGCACACCATAGGGAGAGGAAAACTAAAGTGTGATTTGACAATAGGAAAGCTGGATAGGAAGAGCGGCAAGGGGAAACTATTAGAGCAGATACTATATATAGCCTGGCATCATCTGTAGCAGAAATGATTGTCAGTACATGAGAGATACAACTGTAGACAGAATTTAGGAGTTATGTCACACAGCCAGAAGATTAAGCAAAAGAAAGATTATTAAAATAATTCAATTTAATTTCTACATTTAAATTTTACAGATAACATTTTGTTATTTTAACACAATACAGTCACACATTACTAATAGTTAAGCAGTGTAAAATGTTTGGCTCTCCTGTCAACTACGGCCGGTAGACAACATTTGACGGCCGGTTAGTCGGAGTTCTGTCCCTTGGCAGCAGTGCAATTACGGACTGGAGAAGGCACGAATCAAATGACATAGTTACTGTGTGTTGGAGATAGACAGCATGCAGTGACCTGATGTCATCATACGATTAGGGTTTGGGTTAGGGGTAGGGTTTAGGTTAAGTTTAGGGTTACTGTTAGGGTTTAGGTTAGCGTTACGGTTAGTGTCGCCGCATCTCGTCTTCGCAGATACTCAACGTCGCAACCCAAACCCTAATCCTACCCCTAAACCCTAACCCTACCCCTAAACCTAACCCAAACCCTACCCCTAACCCAAACCCTAACCGTATGATGAGAGTAGGGCACTGCACGCTGTCTATCGCCAACACACAGTAATTATATCACTTGTGTCCGTCCCTCTAATCCACTCCGTAATGTGTCGCAAGACGCGGTAATTGAACACGGTCGCTAATTTGAGTCACGCAGCCCGGGTTCTGCCAGGCATGTCGACCTCACTGTGTTGTTTGATTCATGCCTTCTCCAGTCTGTAATTGCACTGCAGCCAGGGGACAGAACTCCGACTGCTGTTGTCTACCGGCCGTAGTTGACAGGAGAGCCAAATGTGTTTTTTTTTACATTGTAACATGGGACACAGTTATTTTGTTATTTTAAAGCCCCATCCCAGTGGTTGTTGGGGACCCTAAATAAAACCTAATGGTTGAACGAGGTTTCTGAGACTCGTGCTCAGGTGATTCTCATTTGAATTGTGGCACTTTCTGTCATAGGGTATTTATTGCTTCTTTTGCGGTCATGGTGGGGTTAAATATCACTCCCTCACTCACTCACTCAGTCAATCAATCAATCAATCAATCAATCAATCACCCACCCACTCACTCACGCATGCACGCACTCACTCACTCTTTTTACAAAAACTAGGTATCCCAGTAGTAGATCTGGCAGCACACCTGCTCAGGACCTTTAGTGCCTTGAGTTGGACCCCTTGTGAGAAATATTTAAGTGAATACTTATGCAAATAGTCAACAGTGACTACTGAAATCAGACATAGGAATAATGAAACTAATCCCTTACCCAGGCGGGAGATCTCTTCCAAGATGATGTCAGAGAGGAATTCACAAGCTTTTCCTTGTTTCTGTAATACATGCACCAGGCAAGTGGCAAAGTCTTCCTTCTCTCGTACGGCCAATAGTGGTTCAAAAATCTGGCAAATCTCTTTGTAGTCACAGGTTAAATGCTGCCATCAAATAAAAGCATCTTTTTAGTTAATTAATTTAAATGTATTTAATAATATTAAAACAAGGACCTCATTTAAATTTCTACTCCTTTTGATAAACAATGGAGAATAAGAAGCCTAGCGTTTAGTAATCATATGCCTTTCACACTTTTGTAATGAAGCCAATGGGGGAGGTTTTATTTGATCACACCTCATACACTAACCACTATGCTACGACAGTACCTGTGATCATAACCACAACCTTCTTCACCTCCATATGCTCTTAAAACGGCAGCTGGCACATTATATTGTGGTTTTCAGCTAGGCTTTAATATCTAGGCCTTTTGGTCCACAAATCTTATTTCAGAAAATACTCAGTCACCTTTTACAACATACTTGCCACCAGCAGTGGGTCAGTATAACAGCAATGAAAAGTAATGTATTCACATGTCTCCTAATAAAGAGCCTATGGCAATTCTCAGGTTTAGTTTCCACTGTCCGGCTAGGGAAATAATCATGTTACATCTTTTTCACCTTCATTCATTGGTGGCAGAGTGGATCATATCTTATAGTATCTGCTTTGACTAATGTAAACCTCATTTCTGTCAAGGTATTAGTTATTTTGATTAGTTAACATTTTTTTTTCTTCAAAAGTTAGTTGTATATGCTTTGCAAGATGTTGCAGAACCAACCCCGGCAATTTTTTGGCTGTTGTAGTTTCTCTAAGTAAATATTACATTCTGTGGTTTTATTTAAACACAAGCCAGTAAATGTGTTAACCTGGGAATTTCTCTTATACGTAAACAGAGCAACTCCACTAAGACTAGTCATAAGCCCAGATAAAAAAGGAGGAGGGTTTAGCTGAACTTGACTGTTTCATGCATCTCCAGAAGTAGGGAGGTAAAACATGAATAATCCAGATGGCCTGCATAGAGATCCCAAAGAGATAGTACCTCCACGATGCAAAAGGACAACATGCCAACAATCTGTTTACCTAAAAATGTGATTATACATGTCACAGAGAAAAAAACCAGATGGATCCTTATGGTGATGAACTGAAACTTGCTATTAGAGAAGTGTAGCGATCCCTCTCGCAAGCCTTTACATCTCAGGGTAAATGAGAATCAACTAAGATAAGAATAAGTAAATGGAACAATAGTATATTAAGTACACTAAAAAAAAGCAAACCTGAAGAAATGACTGATAACAGTCCAGAGGTAAAATATCCACTGTCTGTTTCCGTGCCTTGACTCGAATGATGGGCAGCTCACTCTTGTTATCTTTCCCAGACTTGCCTACAGTTCCTAGCTGACAAGTGATCCTGTTGAGAGCACAGCAAGGTTGCAGCAAGTTAAAGATCAGGTCACTGTGTCACTGATTAAAAAATAAAAGACCCATTCTTCTTCTTCTTCTCCTTTCTAACCCCCGATGGAGCATAGGCCCTGAACCAACTCATGCCAAGTCATTCTATCCTTTGCTATCACATGCAGCTCTCCCCATGTCCTCCCCATCTGTTTAAATTCACTCTCTAGCTTCCTTCTCCATGTGTTTTTTGGCCTTCCTATACTCCTATGCCCTTGTGGGTTTCACTACAAAAACATTCTAGTTATATTGTTCTCAGGATTTTGCAACATGTGTCCTATCCAACACCAGCGCTTTGCCTTAACATCTTGGTACACTTAAACTTGTTTAGTTCTCCCCCAAAGCTCTACATTAGTGATTCTATCATACCATTCTATCAATTCCCTCTATTCTGCACAGGCACCAGTTAATGAGTGTTTGTAGTTTTTTAGTAATTGCCTTAGCTGGTCTCAAAGTTTCTGCTCCATACGACAGTACTGATTTGACTTTTGAATTACAAATTTTAAGTTTAGCATTTATTTTAATTTCTTTTGACCTTGACAAATTCCCTAGTGCTATAAAGTCTCCTCTTGCCTGTTGTATTCTTATTCAGTTCTTTATCAGCTCCCCTGTCTTTATCTACATTACTGCCCAAACAGGTGTACATTTTGGAGTGGGGTAATATTAGGAGAAACCACATTATTATTTGCTTGATTTATTTTCTTTATCTTTGTCTTTCCCTTTGTCTTTCAGACCTAGCTGTTGTGATCTTGCATCAAGTTTATTTAATTTATCTTGCATCTGACTCTGTAAATGGGACAGAAGAGCAATATCATCAGCGAAGTCCAGATCATCAAGCTGTTTTGTAGGGGTCCATTGAATTCCATTCTTGGTGTTAGCAGTTACTGTTGTCATAATCCAGTCTACTGTCAAAATAGGAGAGGCAACAAAAGACATCCCTGTCGTATACCTGTTTGTATTTCAAATGCATCTGTTAGCTTTCCCTCGTGAAGAACTCAACATTTCATGTCTTTATGTGTTGACTTTACTAAGTTAATAATTCTCTGTGGGATTCCATTTTGCCCCATTAATTTCCAGAGAGATTCCCTATCAATGATGTTAAAAGCTTTTTCACAGTCTATGAATCCAATCCAAAAAGACTGTTTACAGGCTTTAAATGCATCTGGCATACAGTGGCAGACCTATATTTTGCAGACCAATAGGCACTCAGCTGGTGATGTGATCAACACATTTTGGTAGCCTTCACTTCTTAGAACCTAGTACTCAGACATTCTAGAATGTTTCTGTAGCATTTCAGCTCCAAAGTGCTGACCTTCTTTCTTAAAGATTACAAGATGACCCATGACTCACATTTGTTTGTAGGCGTGCTCTCAGAACATTCATGTCGATTTGCTTTCTAGTGCTGAGTTGCTAGGCTTTAATGTTGTTTAATCTTTCAAGTTAAATCACTTGGAAGTGGCAGAGATGTGGTTTTATAGAAAAATGCTGAGAACACCCTGGACAGATAAGAACACCCTGGATAGATAAGAACACCATGGACAGATAAGAATACCATATACAGATAAGAACACCCTGGACAGATAAAAGGAGTAATGAAGATATCTTGAAAGAAAATAACTCATGAAAAGAACTGATTACCCACGTCAGAAGGAGACAATCTACATTGTGTGGTTATGTCATGAGAAGGAGGAAACTGGATTACATCATGATGATGAAAAAGTTGGAGGGGACAAGAGCCAGAAAAAAGACAGAGAGAGAAGATGGTGGACAGTTTGACATCATGGCATGAAAGATCATCTGTGTGAAAATTGACTGAAAGCACACGGGACAGAAGGCTGTAGATAGCCATGATTAACCACATCACAGGGCAAGGACTATAATAAGCACATGAAGCCTTTAAAGCTTATAACCATGACTGATTACCGATTTAAGAATCGATCATAGCACATCGTGCATACCCATAGATGCTCCGTCTCACGCAGCAAATGTTTCAAGGTGTAGATGCTAACTGTTCCTGTAGAACACTGATTATACACACATCATTCTCTTCCTCTCATCCGTCCCTTCTTACCAGATCCACACTTAATCAATTGCTAAGAAGATAATTTCAGTTCATGTAAATCTACAAAGTATTCTAGAAACACTGATATTATATACTGATCTCACAGTCTATAAATGCCAACACACAGATGTATAACATTGGAGAATGAGGCTTGCAAAGATACAGAATTATATACACCTACAGCAGAATATATAAAGTAGAATTTCTCAGAGGCATCCTTAAAATAATCCACTAAGCAATAAGAAATAATAAGTTTATTTTCTCCATTTCTCAGAAAAAATATTACATGACCTAAATATTCCTGAGTATTGATCAGCACTCATATAGGTAAGAAGTCAGATCTGTGTTTGATTTTTGGTAAGATGTGGGGTACTTTAATATGAAGAAAAAATCTAGCCGCAAGCTCCTTTATTCTTTAGCCTAAAAAAAATAATTCCTTTCTTGCATGCATTAACAGAGGTTCAGATTTTGCAATAATAATTACCATTTCTCAATGATTTGTCTGTTTTCCAGGTCAGCTAATGTCAAGGTGATATAGCCTAACGATGACAGAAAAATGTCAGAACCTCAAAAACACATTTCAACAAATTAACAAATACATAACTGTTTACATCATATGATAGTTATTTAATTTCATCAACTAGTTCATGCTGATAATTCAATGCCTTTTTTTTTTTTTTTGTACAGGCTTTTCAATGACAAGGCAATCCCTCAAAGCTGCGCTGTTCGAGGTTTTAGCGTTCTCTCTCAACCCCCTCCTTCCCCCGATGAAATAACAAACACGTAAAGGGCCATTTTCACTCCATGGGCATATGATGCTAGATCCATATTTTTGTAGACTAATGATGGGCGATGCAGTCAACATGATGCTGGCCATCTTTACTTCCCAGGGCTGTTCATAACAAAAGTGAATGGACGTCGCTTAGTGCAACAAAGCCTAGCATATGATATCACAAAATCTAGTTTGAGAATGGAGGTGGAGGCAGCAGTCTCTGCTGCCTTCCGCTGGCTTAAGAATCAGCTGTACACACATGCCATGATTGTCACTGACTCACACAGCGTGCTGAGAAAGATGGAGACAGGCATGCTCTGTGCAGAGTGGCAAGCATCGTTTCAGAGGTTCTTGTGTAGTTAGCATCCTTTGGATATTTTCTCCAGGTTATGCCGGTGTGGTGGGAAATGTACAAGCAGATAGACTGGCTGGTTCTGTACCATTTGGTGGTGTACTGATGTATGGCAAGCTAGATGTTGTGAGGAGCCTTTAGTCTAAGGAGAATGGCACTGCGAGGAAATACCAGGGGATCTGGCCGACATTCATCACTCAAGGAGAAGACAAGAAGGATATGCAATCCAGAAATTTACTGCTGCCCTTGGAATTGGAACTTTGGGAGCCAAGGTCTTGTTCAGCTCCTTAATGAAATGTGTAGGTCATTTGGCTTGTGTTTTAAAGGCTGTGGATTTAATATCAGAGTTTGTGCTTTGTGGTTCTATGTTCATAAGAGCAGCCAGCCACACTAGGGAGAGGGACTGAACCATATCAGATACAATTCAGTGCAATGAAATTGATACTCTTGCCTTCTTGTTAAAAGTTAGTTGTGTGTTCTTACAAGACTTTGCTGAACCAACTCCAGGACGTTTTCAGCAATTTCATGAGGTAAATTTTACATTCAGTGGTTTGGCACTGCTCTTTTAATGGCCCACTCTGGACATCTCTGTTGAAACTAAAGCAAACCAGTCTGCTGCCAAATCACCCCTGGCCGTGACTAACCCAGCACCACAAAATTATGAAGCAAGTTCAGCAATGCCCAAGACATTGTAACTTTGTTCCACTAATTTTCTGTGCCATGTTTTTAATCAACCAGTTGTAGTACAGTGGCTTCACATTAACTCATAAAGTTAAGCTTTCTGTAGCCAGTACTCAGAACTGCAGGGGTTCGTTGGGTAACTGATTGTTTCTAAAGTGATGTTAGTCAATTAACTCTTAGACTGCTGTGCTGCACTTGAAGTGGCTCAGATATTTCTACTAAGATCACCAAGTATGTTTCATTTGCTAACAAAGAAAAAAAAAAGCAACTACTAGTGGTCCCTCAAAGATGCTCTTCAAAATATCTTGTGTGCCTATTATGAGTGTTTTAATGAATGTGATCGTGGGATCACCAGAGCTTGTTAATTGTTTCTTTCATTCCACTGAATAGTAATCTAAATGAATCCTTTAAAAAAAAAACAAAAAAAAACATAAGTTGCTACACTTGGCATTCTCTCATGTATAATGTTCAGGTAAAACTTTATACAAAAAATTTGAAACTAAAATTCCCTATGCCAACATTTTGAAACTAAAATTTCCTATGCCAGGATTTGGAAACTAAATGTACTTATGCCAACATTTTTAAACTAAAATTCCCTATGCCAGGATTTAGAAACTAAATGTACCTATGCCAACATTTTGAAACTAAAATTCCCTATGCCAGGATTTGGAAACTAAATGTCCCTATGCCAACATTTTGAAACTAAAATTCCCTATGCCAGGATTTGGAAACTAAATGTACTTATGCCAACATTTTGAAACTAAAATTCCCTATGCCAGGATTTGGAAACTAAATGTACTTATGCCAACATTTTGAAACTAAAATTCCCTATGCCAGGATTTAGAAACTAAATGTACGTATGCCAACATTTTGAAACTAAAATTCCCTATGCCAGGATTTGGAAACTAAATGTCCCTATGCCAACATTTTGAAACTAAAATTCCCTATGCCAGGATTTGGAAACTAAATGTCCCTATGCCAACATTTTGAAACTAAAATTCCCTATGCCAGGATTTGGAAACTAAATGTACTTATGCCAACATTTTGAAACTAAAATTCCCTACTTCATCCTGGTATATTATACATATTTGTATTCTTCTGAACTTTATCCCCCAATGGAGCACAGACTCTTAACAAAATACTTTTACAGCCAAAACTGTTTCACAAAACCTTATGTTTTCACTCTGAGAAAACTGACCATTTGATATGCTTTGCTACTCAGAAATCAGGGAAGATTTTTAAATTTTCAAATTTCTCTAAAAAAATTATAAATCTAAGAACAATATTGTTTAAAGGTGTTTTCTTCCTCCTCCATCTCCTCCTCCTCCTTTCAAATTAGAACAATTAGCGTATGTACCCATTTACGTCATACGTACCCATTAACGTCATATGTACCCATTTACTTCATATGTACCCATTTACTTCATATGTACCTATTTATGTCATATGTACCCAATTATGTCATATGTATCCATTTATGTCACATGTACCCATTTATGTCACATGTACCTATTTATGCCATGTACCCATTTATGTCATATGTACCCATTTATGTCATATGTACCCATTTATGTCACATGTACCTATTTATGCCATGTACCTTTTTATGTCATATGTACCCAATTATGTCATATGTACCCAATTATGTCTCTTGTACCCATTTATGCCATTTACACCCATTTATGTCATTTACTCATTTATGTCAATTACCCATTCATGTCATATGTACCCATTCATGTCATATGTACCCATTTATGTCATATGTACCCATTTATGTCATATGTACCCAATTATGTCACTTGTACCCATTTATGTCAATTACCCATTCATGTCATATGTACCCAATTATGTCATGTTCCCATTTATGTCAATTACCCATTCATGTCATATGTACCCATTTATGTCAACTGCAGAAGACCAAGCATGTTTCACCCAGAGGGTGATTATTTCATAAATAAAAACAAAGATGACTTTCACAAGGAACAAATTGCTACTCACCCATCAACATATTTTTATCCTTTTTCTTCTTTCTATCTGCCTCTCTATACAAGTTGACCGTAATGGTTTCAACAGCTGGTAAATTTCTGCAAAATATTTAGATGTTTGATGTGGATGGTTGCATTCTAATTTTTGTAGAATACATATTATTTTCAAAACATCTCCTTTTTCTTCTTCTTCTTTCTTTTTCTTCTTCTTCTTCTTCTTCGCTGTAAACTCTAGAAGAAAGGTTTGATTTTTACCCACTTCTGGACTTTAGTCTTTTTCTAGAACTTGAGTTTTGCATGCACATCAATTTTACAGATCTGGCTTGTTTGCATGCAGACTGTTGATTCCTTGCCACTCAAGCAGATTCACTGTGACTTTAAAGTAGGCCTCCAATTATATGACCCCCCCCCACCCCCCACCACCACCACCACTTCCACACAGGGACAAAGTTTCTCTGAAAACATTCTAAATACTACAAAAGAATGATACATGCCTGATAAGTGCTGGTGCAGACGCCGCCGTAGACTGCAGGACAGCATTCTATTTTTGGCTGAAAATTAAACAGACTAAAAGAACACCCAACCCAAAACACAGCAGGTTAACTCATAACACTAGGGCGGCCCCTTATAACTGCTTTACAGTAAAATGGTTCAATGTAAAAGTAAAGGATCCTTCTCCACCCCTTCAGGTGGACTGGGCATATAGGGCTAGACCTATATTTTATAGACCAGTCGGCACTCAATAGGTGATGTGGTCACCACCACACAGGCCGCCTTTACTTCCCAGGACTATACCCGGTACCCACTCAAGGCTGGGTCGACCTGGGAGCCAGTCATTTAAAAAAAATTCAGCTCCATCAGGACCCGAAACCACAACATTCCGATCCACAATGGTTGAATGGGGTTCTGGGATTTGTTCCTGTTTGATTTGCACCTGAACAGTGGTGACTCTTTGATCTTGATGCTCCTCAAATTGCAAACGTAGTACAGAACATCTTTTTTTAAGCACCCCACCCCCTCCCCCAACCCCTAAAAAAATTGCTAAAAAACTTACTTGAATTCAAAGTGCTCCCCCCAAAACAACATGTCTGTCATTGTCTTCACCGAAGTCTTGGCATAGAGTGTTTTGTCCAGCAGAATATCACAAAAATAACTGTACAGGAAGTTAGAAAGCATATATATATATAAAGTCTTACAACAAATAGTGATTTCAAAAAAAAAAAAGTAAATAATCAAAAAGAAATTAGTGAACAAAAAGAAATTAACATATATTTGCAAATTATGAGAAATAAGAACCTTACTGCTTGCAGTGTCTCCTCTCTCTCTCTCTCTCTCTCTCTATCTCTCTCTCTCTCTCTCTCTCTCTCTCTCTCTCTCTCTCTCTCTCTCTCTCTCTCTCTCTCACTTCCTCCTGATTTTTCTCTTTCATATATACACATATTCTCCCGGTCTCTTCCTCTCTCTCTCTCCCCCTCTCTCTCTCATACACACACACACATATATGTATATAGAGAGAGGGGAGGGAAGAAATAAATTGAGGGGAGAGGGAGAAATAATCTGAGATAGGACCACTAACCTTCGTTTAGGGGTAATATTTTTGGCTTCCACAATCCAGACTTTGAGCGAGCTGTCTGACCGCCTACTGTGGGCATCTTGGGGCCTCATGGTTCGTCTCAGGCTACACATAAGAGACAATCAATCGACAGGTCAGCAAATGAATGAATAAACATGATTTCTAAATGCAATGATTTATGTTTACGCAGATATGGAACGTGATCGTTAAAACATCCGTCTTTCGTATGTTAGACGATTTCTCATTTTTGGGTCAATTCCATTTCAGCAGTTAAAAAGTAAAGTAAAGGATCCTTTTCCACACCTCCAGGCGTATTGGGAAAATATGGCTAGACATATATTATATGGACCAGTCGGTACTCTGGGGGGGGGGGGGTGATGCGGTCAGCACCACGCGAGCCGCCTTTACATTCTAGGACAGCACCTAGTACCCCTCTAAACGGGCGACCTAGGTGCCAGGATCATTTTGTTTCAGCAGATGGGGGTTGAAAAGGATGAAGTAGGCAAGGGAGAGATAGAATAAAGAGAGAGGCACATGTTCAAGGGTTTACTGGAAACAAGGAAGGGTGAATGAAACAGATACTAACACAGTTAATAGAATACAAACATGTGTAAGTGAATGGGCGGATGGATAAATGTTATAATAAAGCGATTTCCAACAGAAGGTAGAAGGACAGCTAATAAGACTAGAAGTAGAATGATGCATGCACCCATAGACACACAACATACGGAAAGACACAGAGTTAAGAGGACAAGCAGATTGCAGACGGATACCAAGAGGTGGAATACAGTACACATAAATGTAAACACACTGACGGAATTGGAGAGTGTAGTGAGGGGGCTGACGAACAGACTGGTAGGTAGAGATGTAGCTAACTAGACGGACGGACGGACGGACGGACGGACGGACAGACAGACAGACTACTTTAACTGGTTAAGTTGGTAGATCGAGGAATGAATGAACAAACGTTTACCTGCTCAACCATTTGTCCCTCTCCAAGGCTGTGGTGCAGGAGATATACTTGCTGCCCTGCGAGGTGGCCACATGGAAGAAATGGCCCTGACCCAGGACACTGCTATGCAGCGGCTTGACCTCTACGTTTGGGGCGCTGAGATCAATAGAGTGCATGCCTGGTGGGCTAGTCAGCAGCGACTCGTGCGACTGGGTACTCTTCACGCCCGAAGGAAGTAACGGCCTGTAGAAAATAACCGTATTTTCAAAGCACATCGGAGGTTGGTAACATAACATATAACATAACCCTTGACCCATTAGGGTCGTGGAGGTGTATTGATGGAAGCACTAGCACATAAACATTTTGTGTGTTTTGTCGTTGGCACAGGAGCGGAGCAACTATGGAGTGACTTGTTTGCTATGAAGCTGAAATTAAGATTACTAGATTACCAGACTAGGATATAAAAAAACCCTCTAACTTTCTCTGTCTTCCGCTTGATGAATAAGTGTTTGATAACTTAGTCCTGTCCATTTCTTAATGTTGCCATTCTAGTTTTTTCTTTGCCCTCCCCTTCTTAGACTACACCCCCCTCCCCCCCCCCCCCCCCCCCGAAAAATTCCTTAAGTACAGTCTTTGTAATCATGTCTCACCACGTGCCCAAACCAAGCTAGCTTGCGACGTTTCACCACTGCCAAGAGAGGCTCCTGGTGTCCCGCAAATTTGTATATTTTGTCTCTGACATATTTATTAGTTTTGTGTTCTAAATAACTAATTCGTAAAATGCGCCTGTAGCATTTATTTCGAAAGCCTAAATGGTTGCTATCATTAATTGATTGGTGTGTTTTAAAATATAATATTCAAAAGGAAAGAAAAAAGAAAGAAAAGAAAAACCCATAGCCACAATTTTAACATTCAAAATGTTTGTGATTTTGTAGGCGAAACTGTTCAGATTACACATCAAACAAGCAAATGACAGCTGTTTTGCATCTGGGTCATCAATGGTTTTTAGGCTGTCAATTAATAAAAACGCGCCATCAGATAATTTAAGTGTTTCATTTTTTTACAGTACATAACTGAACTGTTTTTAATGGCTGCAGTTTCCCCGATCTACTTTTGCGAGCGGAAGTACCTAGCAGTCTTCTATTCGAGGTCTTGGAACCAACGACAGTTCACTATTATAGCCACTATGGGATTCAGGGGTTAATGATCACGGTTTATAACCCCGCACTGGGAATTCCGTTGAACGTAGTCATATGGACGGCAAGTTACTTCTTAAACTTAGTGTCACAATATAGATGTGTTTCGTGGAGAGGTGATCAAGCCGTTTGCTTCGCTCTCTGAAGGTCGCGGGTTCGTTTCACGGCTGCGTCGTTCGTTTCACGAGTGCCATTTTTACGGAGACCACCTGGGATTGTCGCTGGAACTAATGTGTTAGTGCTTTGTCTAGCACTCTCAGCAATAAGGTAGCTGTTCTGCAGAAAGAGACCGAGCCATATGGGATCAACCCCGGTGATCCCAATTACGGCTAAGGAACCCACACGGCTAACCTAGCGCTCCTGTAATAACCAATTTAGGGGGAGTACCGGCACCGTCTGTAGACAGGTTTTTCTGTTCTTTCTAGAAATGAAGTTAAGATGGGTACTCTTTATTGGCGGTTGAAAACGAGGCCGAAACACGCGCTGAAATATTCTCAGTGCAGTGATATTTATTCATTCATGCAACACATTCATCCTGTTTAACTCGTCTGGAGTTACACTTTTATGTGAACCACAGTTTACTAGCTGCGTCTTTAGCTTTCCTTCATTGTCAGTGAAGATTGCCCGCCGATCTCTCCAGTTTGGGATTCCCTGTCATGAGCTATGGCTGGTGCAGCTCTCTGTGTCACTGGGACATACAAACCCATCCATAACTGCTACAGAGACATGGAGAGGATCAACTACAAACAGGTGTTACACTTGTGATTGGCAATGAGACGAACCTCCTCACCCCCACCACGTCCTTCTTTCACCCACACACACAACCAGTCTCCCATAAAGCTAGTACACATAAGATCGGTGAAATGATAATTTCACACACTATATAAAGTTAGTGTCTGTGGCGTAGACGTTGCGAACGCGTTTGGCAATGCCGAGGTGCCGGGTTCATTTCCAGCTGCAGGTTTTTTTTGGCAGCAGACCGCCTTATGTTGGTTCCGACAGCGGTGTCATATGCCAAAAGTTCAGTAAGCAATTATGAACTACTGAACGTAAACACTGCCTAGTAAAATCAATCAGGTGCCGTCTCCACAATGAAGGTTGGCTGCAATGGATCTCCAACAAGCCCTGTCTCTTGCCCTTGATGTACACTCACTCCTACTGCTGTTCGTCCATCTCTTGATGCTATCCTCCCACTTGTAACGCTGTCTGCCTTTTGCTCGCCAACCTTGAACCTTTCCCTCTAGGATGATCTTTACAATACTGTTATGTCTTCTAATGTGGCCAAAATATTTAACTTGTCTCTTTTTTATTTCACCTAGCAACTCTCTTTTCCTTCCCAATTTCCTCAGTACCTCCGTATTTGATAGCTTTTGTTTCCATGAAATACGACCTAATCTTCTGTATATTCACATCTCCAAAGAATTGATACGATTTTCCAGTTGATTGTTCATTGTCCATGTCTCTGTGCCATACAGTAAGGTTGAGAATACATAACATTTGACCATTCTCATTTTTAATGTATTGCTTATTTCTCTTGATGTCAGTAACTTTTGCATGATGTTGAAAATGTTTTTGGCCATCCCTATTCTTTTCTTGACTTCTGTTTCACTTCTGCCGTCACATGTTATTTCTTGTCCAAGATATAAGAAATTTTTAACTTGTTCCAATTTCACCCCGTTCACTGTGATATTCATTGTTAGCTGATTATTTTCTTTGCTAAATATCATGGTTTTTGTCTTTTTCAAATTTGTATCTAACCCAAATTCTGCACTCCTTCTGTTTACTTGCTCCACTAGGTCTTGCAACTCCTGCTCACTCTCTGCTAGCAACAATGTGTCGTCAGCATATCTCAGATTGTTTATTATTCTACCATTAATGTGCAGTCCTGGTAATTCTACAATTTCTTTAAAAATGGTTTCTAGTAAAATCACACACACACAAAAGCAAGAGTTAGGTCTTCAATGTCCCGTAAAGGATACGCAACTAACTGCATACTGTACACAAACTCCTTTGTGTTGATTTAATCAAAAGTATGGAGCGACTACCGTACACGCAAAACGCAGGTTTTACACAAAATCCTGAGCTGCATAGTTCGCGGCGACAGCACTTGCCATACTGCCCTAAATCCTCTGGCTCTAGACCCCTTTTCCTCCTACACCGCCCTAAAAAGTGGTGAATACAGACGGTAAAGGGAGCCCTTTCCACGCATTCAAGTCTGTTAGACATATAGTGTTAGACCTACATTTGATAGACCAGTTAGCATGCGGTGGGTGATATAGTCATCACCACACCGGCCGCCTTTACTTCTCATCACTTTACCGGGTACCCATATAGCAGTGTCGAAAATGGGCGCTAAGGTCATTTCTGAAAGGGGGGGGGGGGAGGGGAAAGTCCGCCTCCGTTCGGATTTGAACACAAGACATTTGGATCTGAAGGTTAAAGACTAGCCGCTACACCGCGGCGGCCCTAAATACAGATGCACTGATACTATTTTTTTTTTTAATTCTAACTTCCAGCTACCGTAGTTTACCAAACTGATAAGGAAGAAGAAACCCTAGCAAAACAAGATGCTGAAGTCGGAGGCATCCAGCCAGGAGGCGCACCACAGCAATCAGGATGCCACGCACACACGCCATGGAAGTATCTTCCACCTCAGAACAGGGCACAACCGGTTACCTAACCAAATGTACACAGAATTCAAGATAGGCGAATCAGCCATTTGCAAATGTGGAAAGGTGCCCCAGACAGCAGAGCATGTACTCCAGGACTGCACCGAATTTGACACATTAAGGCAAACCTTTTGGCCAGAAAGAACAACAGTGGAACTCTATGGACCAATGAATGAACTAACAAGGACAGTTAAATTTATACAAGAGACAAAATTGCTGATATAGACAACTTATTTCAGGCGAACGAAAGAAGAAGAAGAAGAACAGAGTTAAGGGGATCAGCTGCAAACACTGCATAACACACAGCAGCAGATTAGCTTGAAGATGAGGAGTTAACGTAACTCTATAGTTTGATGGGGATCTGCCGTGGGACAGTGGCTGGACGCTCACCTGCGGATCGATAGGTCAAAGGTTTAGTTCCGGTTATTGCAGGACTTAAAAAAAAAAGACCTTGGTTCCCAGGTCGACCGGCGTATGTTGGCCACATCACCCATCGATTGGTCTATGAAATATAGGTCTAGCCTTATATGCCTATTACGCCTAAAAGGCTTGGAAAAGGGTTTATAGATTGATATACTTTTGAGACGCCTCGTACACTACACTTGCTAGCGGAATCCTTCATCACGTGGTTAAAAGAACCAGCTGTCGAGGTGGCTATACTGTTCAAATATTGATTCACAAACTAGACTATGATGGGAATGTGCGCGGAATATTTGGAGACATCGCTGTAACCAAATGTAACCATCAGGATAGACGGAAAAGGAGAACGACTGCGAACCGTTACGTATAAACAACATCCAATGAAAACTGCCAATTGCTGCCTCTATTATACCACTTGTGCGGTGCTGGCAGGGGGTCTTTGAGCCTGAGGGTTTACGGCCGCATGGCTAGTGCTGTCGCCACGACTGTGCGGGTAAGAATTTTAATTTGAACCCGCCTTGCCGAGGATTCGAACCCGGGTCTTCCGCTTGAGAACCTAGCGTCCTACCCATTCGGCCAGCCGCTCGTCCGTATAAATAACACCAGGGAATAATGAAGAATGATTACATGTAATAAATAGTTGAACGATTACGCTCATGTCAGTCGCTAACTTCAACGGCTAACATCACGGCTAACATCAATGGCTAACATCACGGCTAACATCAACGGCTAACATCAACAGCTCACATTATCTCCAAAAAGAGTTGCCCATCCTATACGCTGCACAGCCAACACCAGTAATTTTTGGCTGTTGTTCTAGGTAGAGGGTGCTGTGTGGTCTCGAGGCATTGTGTCCGCCTCAGATGCTAGAGATTCCGGGTTCAATCCCCGGCAAGGGCGATAATTTTTTTCACGTGGACTTACACTTCTAGTAATTCCCCTGGGTCTCTGAGTAGTG